CTTTGGAGTCTACCATAATGATGAGGCAATGCTAAACAGCAGTGTACGCATAACTTTCATTTGGATAATAGTATTTCTTTTCCCATTTTCTTCTGCCATTCATTCTGCATTTCCCCCTTACAATGAAAAGCAGGTATCCGTAGCCAGCCTCTGGGTAGACAGCAGGTCAAACATTAGCACACAATTGGCTTTTAGGGGATAAAACTTATTCTTGCTTCATCAGATGGTGGGAAATCACAATAAGAGTTATTGCAGTGATGGTTTAAGTGGCTAAATAGCTGTTGCAACCCATTTCAAAAGGAAGATATAATAGAAAGGTGATTTTAAATTGGGCCTTTTGAAATGGAGACTAAACCAGTTCTTCTAGCTTTTTGCTTCTCATTAAACAGCAGTAAGAATACAGGCAATTGAAGAGTTTTATCTCAAAGCAACTGGAATAACTTTCCCCACACTATAGCTGGTGCCTCTATCTTTCTGATCGATAATACCATTTTCAGGATGTGCCCACTGAGAATGCCCCAGGATTATCCTGTTGCAGTTTGGTAAACCTGCAGTTTGTCAAGTCAGTCTGCAATGGGAACAGAATCCATATTAATTATGAGACTAATCATTTAGTGCAGCATTTCTCAAACTTAGCAACTTTAAGATGTGTGGACTTCAACTTGCAGAATTCCTCTGCCAGCATGGCTGGCTGGAGAATTCTGAGAATTGAAGTCCACACATCTTAGTTGCCAAGTTTGAGAAACACTGATCTAGTGTCTAAATACAAGCTATTCCATTATTACTATCCATTACAAATAAGAGGTTACTCTTAATTTATAACAGCTATGCATTTTACAAAAGAGACTATGGAGTATATTGCTGGACAGTATCTAACCCTTTGTTTTCATTATATCAATTAAAAGGGTGTTGCAAGACATTCTAGAATGAAGGGGGGGTGTTTGGGATAAGATTCCCATAAAACTGAAACCAGCCTAAAATATAAGGAATGTGCCTGATTAAATGAATGTAAATGTACTTCCAAAAAATGTTATAGGAAAATTAATTTCCAACAGGGATCAGTTATGGTGCTAATACTGTCCACTCAGCTCAGTGAAACCATATCAGTTAGAATGAGAGGAGACTGCAATATTATGTCCCTTAAATTTTGAAGTTAATGCTTTTTTAAATTGAAATGTCTCTTTCTATTCAGCTATTTTTCTTTTCTGTTCTAACATAAATGTAGCAATAATTCTTTTTCCTTTAGTCTGCTGTATAGATGTGTCATCAAGCATTAATCTTTAAGGATAATCCTCCAAATTGGCACATACTATGCTCCTATGGTGCCTTCCTTTTAGAATGGTTTCTCCTTGCACTGTGATTCTTGCAATGCCAACAATAAGGCCAATAGCCCTACCAGTCTCTTCCGGCCTTTGATTGTTCTTCCATATTTAATCACTGTAGGTAGTTTAATATGCTTTTCAATCAAATTGAAATTTTGGAGTCTTGTTCCTGTTCCTTTTCCACTGAAGATCAGTACCTAATCATGTTTTCAAACGAAGGGAGAAGTCAGATAGATCTCGCCTGCATTATTTTGTTAGGATTACTTAGTAACATTAAATTATCTCAACTTGCAGTTGTCCAAAATAAGGGTTTATTTTCGAAGGTGTCTGCGCATTTGAATTCAGTATGGACAAAATTAAGGCTGCAGTGCTTTAGTCCCTGGCAGAATGTTTCAGATTGCCCTTTTCAAAAAGAGAGTTTTTGAAGTTTAAAAAAAACACAAAACCTCCTAACCCTTTCCTACACCATGCAATCTTCTACAGCTCTTGCCTCATTAGTATGTGAGCTGATCTCTGATAGGTTTGGGAAGGAAAGAATAGGGAAGAAAAGCATATCCTGGAGCTAGTATTCCATCTTTTTCATTCAGTGGAGAAAAATGGCCTTCTGCCCACCAGCATAAGCCTGATAGGCCTTGAGTATGACACACATCCCCCACCTCCGGTTCTCCCCACTCCCATACGATGCCCATGGTATTGCTCTGGAAGTTATCCACATAAGGCTTCATTTGGGCCCAGTTTTCTTGCCTTTCTCTGTTTTGCGTTTTTCAATATAGTACATCTATTTTATGACAGATGCTCTGATTGTTAGGCAAAACTTCATCATCTCCATTATCTAAGAAAATCAGATATTTATTAATGAGATTTTATTCCATGGAGAAACTGTTAGTGGTTCTCAAAGTGTATTGATGACTTCCTATAGTAAAAGGTGATGAGAATTCACCTATTTTCTTCCTTTTTTCTTACAAGTTGTAAATCACAAGTTAACTCTAATTCTGAAAAAGGTTATTCATTGCCATTTTAAAATTCCTTATTGCATGATTTAACACACTTTTTGTAATAGTATTTTATCATTGTATTTAGAGTAGTTTAATTGTCTCAGTCACTCTGGGTTTTGATTTGTTTTTGGATTAGCAATGACAATTCTTATTAGAAATTACTAATTTGAAGAATAACTATTTCTGTTACATGGAAGCAATTTATTTGCTATGTACATTCACTGTATCTTTTTTCCTTCAAGTTAGAAATCTTCAAAATTCTTTTGCTGACTACATTATACATTCCATATTTTATTTATAATTCTTAACCCATTTTACCTGACGTGCTATTCAGTTATTTTCTCCAGAATGCATGTTTCAAAACACTTTTTAAAATAAGCTAAGACCTGTAACAAGGAAATATAAGCCTGAAACTTAAGGGTTCTAGTGCCATTGTAGAGGTTGGCTTGCTGCAGATTAATGGTATAAAAGCTTAGAAATGCATATTGAATACATCAAGCTTTTCAGAAGATCCTTGTTTCAAAATTGTCTGTTTTGAGCTTGTCACCCTTGATGACAGATACAAGGGTTTAACCTTTGTTTAATCATATACCACCTATCACATCAAACTATATTTAAGGAAGCTGAACTTATACATTGGACAATGCCTAAATTGAACAGAGAAACAATGGATAGGGCTATACTTCATATCAAGGAATCAGCTTCATCCATGGAAAGGGAGTGAACAGTCTTGGAAGAAAAGAAGGTCTGTAACGTGGATATGCAACAATACTTTTTCATTTTCATTCATTAGAAATCATTAGGTATTCCTTCAGCGCTGAAAGAGAACCAAAAGGAGTTTTGGTTATCTGACTGCACAGAACCCTTTATACTTTTTATCCCCAGTATTACCAAGAAATTACACACCAAGCATAATACATGCAAACCATTTTCAAGTTTGCCTGCATGTCAGCTGAAAATAACAAATTTTAAGCATTAAAATTGATTAGAGCTAAATAAGGATAGGAATATCTTGGCCCGCACCTAAGTCCTCATTCCCTAGAGATTCCTTACATCTTCCTTCTAGATCTTTGCCTTTTAATACAATTCAGTGTTAAAAAAGTTGCAGATCCTCCTAATGAATATGTGAAGATCTAGGTGGCAGCCACGCATACAGGATGGGGAAAAGGAAATTTATATACATGCCTGTGTTCAGCTTACTGGAGTTCAGATGAATCCTAGCAGAGCTACAGTGAATGCACTATTGGAGTAAAAGGCAGGCACCAATCAGCTGATGTGGCCTTCATTTCCCAACTTTAAGCATCAAAAATTTCTGCCACAACTAGGCAAATCAGCCAGGGAGCTAGTCCTTAACCAGCATAGCTATAATTGCATGTTTGAAAGTCAACCACTAAGAGCATCTGTAGATATTATAGAGCTTACATATACCAACAAAGTCTTCCAACAGGTTTATTGTGCTGTTTATTTCCTGCATAGGCATGCATTATTTATTTTACTACCTCATTGAAAAGCATGCTTTCTCTGTTTAATGGCTATTGTCATCCTTTGACATGCATAATAGAATACTCTGTGGCAGGCTTTTCTGGATTTTACTGCTTTTGATACCAGTTGGAACATTTTTGTAGCTACCTTTAGATCTAGTCTTTTTTTATCCAGTTGGTGTCAAATTCTTTTGATTCCAACTGTTTATCTGTTCTCTTGCTTGCTGGATAGACCACAATTTGTAAAATTCATTTTGTCCATTCAGAACACCACGTTACGTAGATTGACTTAAGTGTTGTATGATCTGGTTTTGAATATTAAATGCCAAGGATTGATGAGGCCTGATAACCATTAAGAAAACATCTTGAATTTCTGATTAAAATGTTCTTATAAAATATGGGCTTGCATCTCCAAGACTACATCCTTAAGCAAGGCTATATTTTATCCCCACATAAAGTAATAACTTTACTGCCCCAGAAAATATCTCCAGGAAGTCCCACTCAGGTGAGAAAAGATAGTTCATTACATATAGTTCTTGCATTAGATTTTTGGTAGCATTTTTCACAATTTTCATGATACTGGAATAGAATTTGGGTGGCTATAACAAAAATCTGCAGTAACCAAACATGAGAATGTCAGTAAAACTCTGTTAAGCTAGTTTTACTCTGCATGTAGATTATAGAAAAATGCTGGTTAATTTGGAAATGCCAACCTAGAGACAATAGCATGAATTGCCCTGATCTAGCTTGGCAGTTAGTTTCCATTCAGAAAGAATATAGTCTTGCTCAGAGAACCAGAGTCAGCCTTGTAAGTGTTGCTAACATAAATAATTTGATTGGGACATACTATAGATAAAATGTACTGACTAGCCCCTCTGTCCCTACAGGAAAATGACTGTCAGTACACATAAAGCAAAACCATTATTCCACATCCCAATACAATATTGAAAGAGTGCAAATTTAAAACACTAAACTTCACTACAAACCTTCGAGGCACTTTATTTCAAATTTGGCCATGGCAGGATTTGATTCAGTAGGCATAAAAAAAAGGGATTTAGAGTTATCTGAGCTGAGATTCAGTGTTTTAACTTGTCAGACTAGGTTTGAGCACATTATTGGTGCTGAATAAGAACTGAATCATGTTTAGTATGAAATTTAAATGGCCTTTTTCTTTTAAATCACAAGTTAGATCAACTGGAGGTAACATAACTGGACTGAAAGAATCCATATGACTACCAGATGGCAGCCAACACATACAGAAAATTTAACTGCCATCTAGTTGTCTGGATTTTTGCCAGAGTTATGACAGCCCTACTCCTAACTTATTTTTCTGCAAATAGGATTACTTTGATGGAAGGCTTTTCAGCCAGTGGAGGATCATGCTAAATGAAAAGAATGCAGCCATCTTGCCATTTTTCTTCCTGCACTCCCCAAATGTTCTAAATGGGATAGGGGAAATCTGTACTTCCTCCAGCATTCCACCAGTGGCATCACCTGAGCAGAATTTTCAGATGGGTCCAGCTTCTTCGTTTTGCTCAGATAGTTTTGTCCACTATAGTAGTTTCAACATCATAAATAATACCCATTCTGTTTGTTACACGAAAGCTTATTTCATGATACAAGTTACACTGTTAAAACAGGCTTCTAGAAGTTGGTGCATTTGATATATGTTGCACAAATCATGTTACTTCTGTTACTTTTTCAAGGCATGACTTTTACACCAGCTTGAATGTATTATTATTTACAAAACAAAGCAAGCACATTTTTAAATTAAATGTCAGTATTGTTCCTGTTTATATTGGCATTTTTTGCTGAAAAACCACCATTTTCATTGGTTTTTCTCATTCCAGTAGTTTCTTAGATGCTGTAAAATAGCTATTTGTGTTTATTTGATATAGAATTGTACAAACTGTAGTTATTTATACAGAGGCATTTATAACACTTTTATAAATGTTCTTATATTCTGAATAAAAAATTAATGCTGAGAAGTCATTAAACCTTCTTTCTTACAGACTACCTTTGTGTATTTTGTTCTTTGTCAAAAGCCCTGGATAGTCTCTGTTTTGGGGGCAGTGAAATGTTTCCCAAGCTGAAGCTATTCTATATGTAGGAATATTTTTAATAGCACTATCTTCTATACCACTGGGAATATTTTCTATACCACCATTCCCCAACCTTAGCATCTTCTGGATATGTGGACCTCAGTGCTGACTTGGGAATTTTGAGGGTTGACATTTGCACAGCTGGAGGATACCCAACTTAAGGAAGACTGCCTTATACTTTACATTTGTTTACATGACAGCTATGATTGAAAATTGTTTAATGATATCATACAAGAATTATGTGCGCAGTCAATGCATTTCTCATATAACAAAACTCATCAATATTAGAATTGTATTTTTAGTCACTAAACAATATGGCACATTTTAAAACCAACATTGGATAAAATGGTTGAAAAAAATTGCTTCTGTTCTATGCCTTATTCCAAAATATGCTATCTTCCTGTTGAGCAAGAAGGCAACTTGCAATCAGGAACCCTGAAAAAGAAAGATCCCTGATCACAGGAAGATTTCTAATCAAGTTCAGCTAAATGTAATAAGATCCAGGAGGTAATAAAGACACTGGAGGCAATGCAGCCCAAAGCACCCCAAGTGCATTGGAACTCCCTGTTCAGGCAAAATGCTTGAGAAGGATTGTTTAAATACTGCTGTCATTTAATGAAATGTTAATTGCAGTTTCTAATTGATATGTTAGTTATAAAGTCCAACAAGCAGACTACAATCTTGCAATTCAGAAACATAGTATTTCAAATTATTTGTTATCCACAAGTCCCATTCTTATAGCGGTTTTACAAAATACAAATATATTGGAGAATGAACACACAAAACCATATATATTAGATACTTGGCATCTGATTGTATTTCAAAGACGATCTTGGTTTATTTTAAATTTATACATAAAAAAAAAAATCTATCTCTAACGTGTAATAGAAGAAATACTCTGATAACCAATCCATTGCTCCCCACTTTGGTCAGGACCAAAGATTCTTGCTGTCAGAAATGGGGGTAAAATAAGAACATTCTGAAGAACTAATGGTTGCAAAAATCTGCACTGTCCATTGCCTCAAATCTTCCTTAGGCTTTTCAAGTAATGAGGCTATTTAAACCATACATATTAGACCACTGCAAAATAATAACACAAATTCCCAAATGGGTTATCATTTGGTACTGTATCTTCAGTTATAATTTTCATTGCCATCTCATCAAAAACGAGCTATTACCATTGCAGTGTAATTTTTTACACCATATAACAGTGAACATTAACATTTGCTTTGTTTAAAAAACACCTCCTTAGTATGTTTAAGAGACCACTGGCTACAGTGCATTAGGATTGGTCATCTTTAAAGGCTAAACTAACTCTGGTCAAGAACAAACTAATTTGTACATCGAATTTATACTTCCACTAATATATCTGCCATTATAGAAAGACTTCCACATTGCTTTCTTGAAATAAGCCACAATACTGAATATTCATTTTATAACACTGGACCATTTAACTGATTTTACAATAAAAAAAACGATTTTACAACATTTTACAGTATGTTGCAAAAAGGGATTTTTTTACACATCATTAAATTACATTGTTGTATTTTTTTTTACCATATTGAAAATGAAATTATTAGCAAAACAAGTTCAGAAAAACTTATTTCAAAACAGGACCTCAATATGCAGTTTATTTTTCTAAAATTACAGTTTCATTTTATTCCTCTAATATTTGTGGTGTTACTAAATTCTAAATAACTACTTTCAGCACACCAAAAGGCTTGTATGCACTCACCAGTATTTTCATCCCCCCCCCCTCCGCATACAAAACTGCTTTACAAACTTTTTCACATACAAAATTACTTTGGAAACATCCCTTAGTTTAAAAAAAAAAAAATCTTTGCCATCTAATACAAGATGCTGTTGCCTAAGAAAAGTCCAAAATCTCCTTGAATACATGGAACAAATTCAATTGATGAATCCTAGGCATTGTCTGAAGCAAACAATTAAATCTGTGTTGATATTAAAAACTGGATTTATAGTTCAAAACCCATCAGAACATTGATCTTTTCATGTTCCCAATAACAAAAATAAAGAGGACCTTCATGCATCATTTCTGACAAACATACTTGGAAGAACAGTGAAATCTATACTGAATATAAGCATTCAATACATTTTGCATCTATCAGAGCTTTCAGCATATAGTAGCATTTAAAGCCAAATTTCCTCTTCTTGAAAAAGATACACATTTAAATACCACATTTAGATTTTAGTAATAGGCGGCTTTCCTACAAGGAAGCCTTCACAGTGCATATGAATTAAACGCACATATAAGAATTCAAATGTAAGAAAGCAGGAGCAGAACATCTGAATTGGATGCTTCATGATTTAATTTACAAAAATATCTACGTCCCACATGCTTGATCTAGCATAGGAACAATCAAAATTTACATATCTAACCAGCAAAATCTCACAGTCTTTGACCTGGAATTTAAAATAGTATCTGCCACAACACTGCTCTCAGACAGAAAACATGACAATGATCAATTTCAGGCAAGCAGCAATGGGAAAAAAAAAAAACTGAACAGAGGCACTTATACCATCCATGACCTCTATATTAAAAATGTCAGAAGCTGCTTTAAGTATATATTCATTAAGTCACTCATCACTTTCTACTTTGTGATAACAACCAAAACTTGTGTAAAAGATTATATTAATACATTATCACTTGACTGTGTGATCATATACTGTATATCTGACAGCCATGTAAACAAAATCCAAGTTTAAACTGAAACATACATGCACAGCTGTATACAAAACTATCAAAAATCTGCTTAAATGTTGCCTATAATCCTAAAAAAAAATGAAGAGCAACTGAAGCTGGAATACGTCTTCCAATCTGTTTTCTCTAAATGTTTCAAAAGCATCCAAAGGAAGACCAGAGACTTCATGCCACCACAAAACATATCCCTGACAGAGTAGACATGTGTTAGTAAGGAATCAAAACCTTTACTAAGCAGACACATACAAACACTCTCCAAAGATGATATTACAGTCTATATCTTTATAGCAGAAGTCACTTAACTTGATCTCAAAAGCTTCAAGTGGGCATACTTAACAATTCAATCGAGTAAGGCAGATTAATAATGGCCATGCCTCCTCCTAAACAGCAGCACAGCATCCAACAGTCAAGCAGTAAGATTTTTAATGGAGATGAGCTCAGATCCATTCACAGATCATTTATTTTCCATCCTTTAAAATGCCCCAATCAGAGAAACAAGAATCAATTACAGTCACTGAATTGCCTTTTCTTCACTGTTATATAGAAACCTAGGTAAACCATATGCCTGCATTTTGGAATACATGAGTGTAATAATTCATTTAAGCACTTTGCAAAAAATAAAAAGCACCATTACTAACCAAAAAGATAAACAATCTGAAATGTTCACAGTGCAGGGTGCCCAGGAACTACTACATTATTTTCCACACTTTTAAGACATGATAGCAGTCAAATTAAGGAATACAACCATGTGCAATATAGTATCTTGTAAAAGTGATAATTATTGCATATTTTATTATGTTAATTTGCAACCTATATTAAGGCTAGGTTAATAAACCGAGATTAGTCTTTTAGAGTCCCTGGGAAGTCCTCAACAAAGTAGTAGTCAGACATTGGATTTTCTGAAGAAGTTATTCTCTGCAAAACAGAAAACATTTTGTATATTCAAAAGGGAAAAATATGTGCCCCCTAAAAGTTATTTCACCTGGGGAAATTAATCTCACATTGCTAGTATAACACTTAAGCATCTCATATTCAAAATACACATAACTGTGCCAACATTTCTCTTATTAATGGCATATCAAAAAGGAAGCAGCATAAAACAGTAACACTCCTGGAAATCAAGGTACACATCAGAAGAAGACTGGCACTAGCAGCCTGAAAATCCAATTTGCGGTGATTGAGAAGTTAGCAAATTAGGCACTTTTATTACTAGAAAAGTCAACCTGCATTAAATACTGACCAAAAATGTATCTTCACAGATGAAGATTAAATAAAATAAAATGGCATCTTCATCCTCAGTTGTTCAACTATCTTACTTTTAACAGATATGTAAATCCAACTAACTTCACGTTATGAATAAATGCTGGATGCAGCAGGCAGGCATGTAGGCAACAGGCTAGTCTGTCATTCAATCATTTACAAAATGGCCAACAAAGAAAACTGAACTTACTCGGAAATTAATCTGCACCTATTTTGCAATTATGAAGAAGAGGCATACAATAGTTACATATAAATTTCATTGTACAATCCTTTAACAAGGGAAAACCATATATTGCAGGGATTTTGCAGGTGAATGGGCTATACTTAACTTTCAAGCCTACTCTGGTTAAATTTGAGAAATCTCAGTGCATACTGTGAACCCAAACTGTCACAGTAAGTATAGGGCACTGAGGAAACAAAATTCAGTAGCAGTTTTTATACAATCCATATTCACACACATTCCTTCAGTGCAGCTTGGGCTAGGACTATAAATTCAGTTTTTTTGTATTGCTTGTTGCTATTCCTTTCCATGTTTTCACTGACATAGCACGATACATTTTTGAGCTACTACTCTGACATCAAACTCAATTTTAAATCAGAGCAAAATACTAAAAGAAATGATACAAACCTAGTAAACAGTATAAACAAAAGCCCTTGATGTTTGTAGAGAAGGGTTAGAATATGGTGGTGGTGCTCTTCTGCCAGTATGAAGGAACTCCATTACTGTAGAAATCCTCCTAAGTCCACTGGTGGCAGCAAATGGCACACAGTCTCAATATATGGTGTTCCACGGTGGGGAAGAACCAGCTTTGGATTCAACGATGTTCCTTTTTCCTGATTTAGGCTATCAACTCTGCCAGTCTTTAGGTATGGCTAATTCCCTCTCATACTGCTTTTAGGAGGAACTTTTAAAATATATAGCTCCATTAGACTAGAAAGCCTCCTCAAACCATCCATGCAACTTCTGCCATGGGCAGCACAGCTAACAGGGCTTTGGGATTGGCTAGAGTATTTTTTCAAGCCTCAGTTTGATGCTACATAAGCTATAAGCCACATGGTTTTATATAATAATGTTTATCTTGGTAGTACTTCAAAAACTAATTTATTCTATCTGCTAGAATCATCTCCCTAAACACACATTTTCATGTTTCATCTTCTAATACCTGTAATTCTTCTGGTTGGAAACAGCTTAGACATTTCACACACGGGAAACAGTAAAAGTTGTATTAGACACATTTCAATATCACCACCATCTTCTCACTGGAGCTGAAACAACACAACTACTGAACAGAATGTAAGATAAAATATTATAATGGCAATACAATTTTAAATTATGCCTATATTTTAAAAAGTTCCAATACAGTGCAACAAAGATGTGGAAATAAATTGATTTGAATATTGTAAGATCCCAGACAGAATGATTCTCAGAACAAAAGTTTGCCTTTTAGCATTCTGAATCATAAAACACCTAGCTCCTTCCACAGTACAGAATATTGATCTCTTCAGAAAATCTGTATGGGTTTTCAGCATCTGTACTGCAAAGTATCACAAATGAAACCATTATACATCAGAGCAATTTAAATGCATAAAAAGTTAATGCGACCAAAGGCAAAATATTCCTCCAAAATCTAGACAGACAACAAATGATTTAAAAAATGCCCTCTAATGCATAGCTAGGAACTAGTAAATGATACACTGGAAAGCATTTTTGCAGGTAAAAGCTAGACTGCATTTAAAGTGCAATACTATATGGTGCTACTCCCATATTGCAATGAGAACAAAACCTTCCAGTCCACCACTAGGTCCCTGCATTGCTTTAAAACCTGAGAAAGTGTAAAAGTTGGATTTTAAAAACCCACTCAATTGCTCTGTGCCAAAACTCTAGCCAGCTTGTGCAAATCACCAAGCTTCAGAGGTCAAAATGTTTCATGATCATATCATGGTCAAACTTGAAGCTCAGAAAAGCACGTGATGAGAAAGAGAATTTACAATGGCCATTGCATGACACCGATTGTCCACGTTCTAGTTGCTGGTCTTCGTTGAGACAACACACATCATATGCTGTTTCTATATTAAAAAGATAAAGAAGTATTTAGCAGCGAGTGACAAAAAGTATCAAAATAATTTCCTACAATCCATGAAAAAACATCAAAGGCAGTAGCATATTACTTAAGACATCCACTAATTTAAAAACTGGACAGGGTCGTTAACTATAGTCCAACATACAAAGTAGGGGCAGCAGATTGGAGAATGCTATCTTAGGCAAGACAGATCTAAATGAGAAAGGTCTTTGCCACAAGACTGTTGCCTGTTCCTCCTATGAATCCCTATCTTCCAACTTACCATTTACTATTAATTAATCTGCAGAATAAGCAGTGACACTGCCATAGGTTTGGGACATCTCTAGTAAGATTGTGACCACTAACATCTAAAATATATTGGCACTATGGCTATTTTCTCAGAATTGTAGTTTGCATAATTTGTAAGCTTGCTCTCAAATAAAGCAACACAAGCATCAACTAAAGTACTGTTAAACTTTACAGCTTTCCTTAGAATTTATACTCTGAAAAGCTATTAATCCTTTTTTTTAAAAAAAAGTATTTTAAAAATTAGAATACTGAAGTACAGTATTCTATTCAGAAAACAATTCAGAGTAATAAAATTGGGTACTGTAATGTACTCTAAAAACAAACTGCACCCTTGCATCCTTTGCACACTCAGCTTCAGCACTAACGTGATAAAATTGTTTAAACTGTTATTTAATCCTTCCTTAGGAAGTTACTATATAACTATAATGTTGATCAGAGCAGGGATTTAGTTTTCCCTGTTCAGCTGTAACAGGAAACTATGGCTCAAGCAAGCTACAATATCTTGGATAAAGCCAAAACTTTGCTAGGTTGGGCGCTATAAATCATAGTGCACTAACCTCATACACTTACAACTAAGTTACAAAGTTGTTTGCTGATTAACAAATAAGTAGTATACACTGAAATACAAGTGCTATATACCTTTATTTTTACATTCTGCATTGTCTAAAGTAACATTATAAACATACATACCTGTTTCAAAATTATCTTGAAGTTTTCTTGGATGCAACTTCTTTTCACATTTCTAGTTAAGAAGATAATCATATTAAACATTTCTCAGAAACCTCTGAGATTTATGTTCAAATCATAATGACATAAAAACTTTTAAATTCATAAACAGAGGATCATTAAAAAACTGAAGCAGACTGGATCATGCCCTAAGAGTTTTATTGTCTGTATCTCCCAATTCCATGTAAAGTACACCTTCTAACAACACGCTTTTAAGCAGACAAGACTGAAAGCAAACAGGCTATTTTTAAAATAGTTTTACTGCATTCTGAGACAGAGCTCTGTTCTGCGCTAGTGTTTGTAACAAAGTCCCACACATATTCTAACTCTTCAGATCTACACCCTCAAGCAGAATTGTTCCTCAGAAATGGCCTCACTCATTCTCATGGACTCTTCCTTTGTTGCACATCTCTCTCGCACAACTTTAGGGACAGACTGGGCCAGTTTTACATAAGCTCATAAATCATTCCATCTATTTTTTTTTAATTTACAAGAAAATGAATACTTATTTTTAAATAAATTTCTCACAGAACACATTTTAAACACTTAATTCAAGCAAGCACATTTTCACATGCAGTTCTGTATGCTTTTAGAGCTAAGAAATGCATCACAAAATTCAGAGAAGTGGAAAATCAGATCTACACACTTGCCTGAAAGACAGGATCTAATAGGTAGCCTTCAAAATACAGTCTGAATTACATTCTCATGTGTCATGGGTCCTTCACTTCTCCCACAACCATAGTCTTAAAGACTTTAGTTTGAAGCCCCACAATGTGCATTGTGCTCCAACCTCTTCCTAGTTGGAGAGCAGTCACTGCTTTTTTTCCTTCACTTCCTTTCTAGTCTTCCCTTTGCCTCAACCAACTCATGAACTCTTTCAATCTCCATTGGCTTTACCTATTTGACTGAGAGGACTATTTGACTGGTTCAGGGGAAGGAAGAGTTCTTTGCCAGGCTACAGAAAAGTCATGGCAGACTTATCACAATCCAAGAATGTTTAACCATATACAGAATTCCTCAATGAAAACAAAACTATCCCATAGCATTTCATGCTGCAAGACTCTTTTCCTAGCTAACCTAGCAATACATTATTCACTAATAACCAATGCTCTCCTCCTGCAACATTATTTTTAAGTAGCAGCTTAACAAGAAAAGTCCAGCAGAACAATCAGAGAATGACTGCAAGATATTCTCAACACATCTGGACATACCCAGAGGATATTAACAGAGCACATTCCCAATTTTTCCTACCAATCCCAGGTAAAAGGTGAGACAGTCCTCAACAGCAGCAATAGTAATATCCAAAAGATAACTGTTGAGTGCAAATGCCTTGTTTGCCAACAGACAAAACTGTGTACACAGACTTACGTTATGTCACAAGCCATCTCAGCAATCAAAGCATTAGAAACATTTCCAGGGCCTCTACTGCAGGGTCACCCCCTAAGCTACTGTCACCAACACACAGTGCTTGATGCTAAAATTATTCCACATTTAAATTCAAAGTGCTTTCTAGTTTGCATTTACCTTTGTGCATCTTACCAAAGTTTGGTTCTGTTTGGCTGGCTGATTTTGAACTCCATTTGTTCTCTTTTTTTGATTAGGAGTATCTTGATACTGCTTTTTGCCATTGCCTCGTGCATTCTAGGCAAATAATGTAGCAAAAAAAAAAAAAAAGGACAATGAAGAATTACATTCAGCTGGAATTATTCAGTTTTAAAATATATTTATAATAAAATACATTTAATATTAGCAAAGTATATTTATTTACTTTAATTAATTAATTTCATGCTGCCTGACTCCAAGACTCTGGGCAGCTCATAAAACACCAAAACAATATAAAAACAGTATAACAGATACAAGCAAATAACAGAACCAGACTCAGACAAAAAAGCAAGACGGCAAATCCAGCAAATCCCAAAACATCCCACCAACAACTAACATCTAATAAAGGGGGCACCAACCTCCCAAGCCCAAGGGTTCTCTGTGGTTCATCAACAAATATATTCAGCTTATTTAAAACATGTCTTGATCCATTTAAAAGGTATGGTTTTGAGACATTCAGTAACTTAAAAATAAGTTTAAAAGTTTGAAAACATACTTCAACTTAAGTCTCACCAAATCTGACATAACAATAAAAACTATTTTTAATAGAAACTTACCTTTAATTTTAAAGTTTCAGGCATATCAAAATGATTGTTATATGGCTTTTGTTGCTGTAATTGCCTCTGCCTTGATTGGTCTCCCAAAGGTGTATCTGTAAACACCTGCTGACTATAATGGAGTTTGGATCTGATTCATTAAAAAAAGCATCTTTTCAGAAAACTTCAGCAGTCGATTATGATCATGCAATATCACTGCTTCAATAAGACTATTCTTTCAAATAATCATTTAACACCTTGTTAAATTTCTTTTTTAGGGCACTATTGTTTTGTTCCAAAAGCAGTGAAAAGGTGAAAAACAATTATTAAATTACACTTCTTTGCATATCATTGGCACAATCTACTTTCTTGTAGTTTCAACCCATTAGTTCTGCTCCTGGCCTTCAGGGTACAGAGAAAAAAATCCCTCCTTTCTATGACAACTCTTTAGATATCTGAAGTCTGCCACTGTACCTTCACTCTACCCTGTCTTCTCTTCTGCAGGCTAAACATACCCAGTTCCCCACAGGTCTTGGCTTTCAGTCCCTCGCCACTTTGATAAACCTCCTCTGAATTCAATCCAACCGATATCCAGACACAGTGTGTATTCCAAGTGGGGCCTGACCCAAGTAGACTAGAATGGAGCAATTACTTTCTGTGATCTGGACTCTGTGCTGCTGTTGATATGTTTCAAAATGACATTTGCTTTCTTAGCAGCTGCATTACATTGCTGGTGTATATTCAACTCATATACTAAATATGAGGTCTACATATACTATTGGGTCTATTAAATCACCCAAATCCTTTTCACATGCCAAGTCAAGTCTCCTCAGCCTATACTTGTGCCCTTCAATTTTTCTCCCCAAGTGCCTTTTTCCTTGTTAAATTTCATCCTGTTCATTTTGGCCCACTGTACAAAATGGCATATATGTTTTTGAATCTTCTTTCTTTTCTAAAGTAGTAGCCACCCCTCCTAGCTTTGTATTAACTGCAACTTGCAATAATCTTTCTCTCAACCACTCCATCCAGGTCATTAAAAACAATGCTGAACAGAACAGGGCCCAGGACATAGTTCTGAGGCATTCAAGTTGATATTATGCTCCAGCTAGATGCAGAGTCATTTTTTTGTTACTCTCCAGGTACAGTCATCTTGCCCTATTCTACCAGGTTATCATTCTCTTACCATGTTGTAATCTAGTACAAGACAGTGCCAAAAAAGAAAATAATCTACACGTTAGCTAATAGTAAAGAATATACCCCTGCATTATAAAGTTTCAGTTAACCTTCCATTGTCATTGGCTTAAGTTTTAAAAGGTGCTGGTAAGTAATGCAGTTAACACTGAAATTCCTGGAGCTCCACCCATATGGTATATCAGTGAAGGTCACTTAGCTATAGCACGTATTCTGCCATGAGAAAAGTAAATGGCATCCCAATATATGAACATAATATTGTTGTGAACGTTATTAGCAGATCACAAAAATCTGAGTTACTTCTACCTAACATACAGCAGGCACATAAAGATGTCTATAGCTCCATTGTACATGCAAAATAATTAATTCACAGATGCCTAACTAGAGAAATATCTGTCCAAAGATGACACACATAATTCTTTTTACATTTCTATGGAACTTAAATTAAAGCTGCCTTTACCAAATAACAATATATAATTGATGCTTGGAATGAATGAACGAATGTAGATAGATAGATAGATAGATAGATAGATAGATAGATAGATAGATAGATAGATAGATAGATAGATAGATAGACAGATAGATAGACAGACAGACAGACAGACAGACAGACAGACAGACAGATTCAGCAACTTCACCGAATGAGCTTCCTCATTCACCGATAATTCACTATTAAATATTAGAGCTGTGCAAATATCGAAAACACCTTGTTCACATCTGTGCTACTTTTTCTCAGTAATGAAAATCTGCATCACTATTTTTCTATCCCTCCATTTAAGAAAGGCAGGGGAGAGATAATACGTCCTAGTGTTGTTAGAGAAACTCCACAATTTCCCGTCAGCATGGTGAATGGCCATGCTAGTTAGGGGATGGTGATGGCAATCTGAAAGTGCAATATATCTGAAAGGCATCAGGATTGGGAAAGCTGATATATGATATTAGGAAAATGTCTTAAACTATTATTATTCATTTCATTTACAGAAAAAGACACTTGCCTTTAATTTGAAAGCAATTAGCAAGTTTCACAATTAGTTACCTGTGTTTTTCTACATTGGATTTAGGTGGTGTGCTGCTACTGGTGGATGAGAACCCATTATCACTATCTGAAGAGTCTCCATAACGTCGAGAAAGCCAGTCTCTCAAGGGTCTGTAAAGGGTTAACATTAGAACAGCAATATTCAGATTTTTGAAACAGGGTTTCAAAACTCCACCCTTAAAATCTTCAATACAGAAATTAAACATAACAGATTTATTTTCTTCTCTCATTTTGAACGTACCTGATGAAGGGAATGGTCATAAAAAACTTGTTAGGTGCCAAACCTAGCTTGGACTTTGGTGTCATGTCATTTCTATGGCAAGGTAATTTATCAATTGAGAACCATTCAATATTCTGAAACACAGAAAAGAGATTTCTTAACATTTTACAGATACAACAGATGGGAATAAAAACTCCCATTAACCATCTAATTAAGAGGTAAAGCATATCTTTAGAAAACTTTTCTATCACCAAAAAGTAATTTGAATTCCTTATACTGAAATGTGCAAATAAATACAGACAGTCCTTAGTTAACGACTGGAACTGGAACTGGCAACTCCATCGCTAAGCAACGTGGTTGTAAAGTGAAAACTCACATGACCACACTGACTTACGATGGCAGTTCCATCAGTTCCAGTTGCAGTCATTAAGCGAATCATGCACAGGCATTAAGCGCGACATCATGTGACTGCAACTTGTGACTTCCTGCCAGCTTCCCCATTGACTTTGCTTGTTGGAAGCTGGCAGTTAAAGGTCGCAAATGAGAATCATGTGACTGCAGGACACTGTGACTGTTGTAATTGCATGCCAGTCGCCAAGCGTCTGAATTGCAATCATGTAACCATGGGGACACTGCGACAGCCACAATTTTGAGGACCAGTCATACATCTCCTTGCTCAGTGCTGTTGTAACTTCAAAAGGTCACTGAACAAGGACTACCTGTAATGTATTTTCTTCCTTTATCTCTAATGTGTGTGGTTTTATAGAAATGCACCAAATAATCAATTAAAGATTTAGTAATTATATCCTCAGTGTATCTTGGAACTGGATGAGATGGAGATCTCTGCCAGCATATTCACTGAGGACCACCCCAATATACCTCAGAAAGCTCCACAAATACAAATACTGGTAGCAGTATGCTTGCTGATGATAGAGGCAGCTAAATTATATCAGGAATGGATCACAGATAAGACCTTTTGATCTACTAGCATATTCCCAAGTCAGCACCTTTCATTACTCTAGTTTGAAGTTAGCAGATTTCAATTCTCTCCCAAAGGTATCAATGTAACAAAAATTAAAAGAAAATTGCAAGGACAAAGACAAAGATAACACTAATCTTTCCTATCTCCTGCTCTAGTTACTTGGGAGCAGCAGGGTTCTGGACACAGTCCTTCTTGCATTGCTTTGTCTAAGGAAAGGAGTATTTCACATAAGGAAATACTATCAGATCTGGGCTGCAAAAACCCAGAAAGCCACCAGATCCCTTTGTTGCCATCCAGTAGTTATCCAGATTTTTAGTTTAGTTTGGATAGGCCTAATGTAAAGGAAATACCATAAAGGATTATATCAAAATGCATGATATTCCTCAATAATCTGGTATTATAATATTATTAATTTCTTAGTATCTCAACATTCAATTATAGTTTACAAAAATTTGAAAGGTAGATTTACCCGAATCTCTCTTCTTGTTTTAGGATTAAATTTTGTGTCCTTTGGAATGCCTGGGATGATATATAATCGTGCTAGCTGATCATTGATTCTTAATTCAATATAGTCATCTTTATTGATATAATCTTTTATATCAAAACCAGTTTCTTCAAATACCTGAAAACAGACAAGAACAGAATAAAATTTATACACACATTTTAGGAATAAAGCAACTGATTGTTTTATATTACAGGATGAAGAAATGAGAAATCTGACTCAGACTTTTACTTTAAAAATCTGGCTTAATTATGACATCATCTGACTAAAGTTGTAAACTTCGCATTACAGTTTTAAGAAAGCAAAAAAGAAGATCTATGCAGAACTATCAAAATTACATATCACAAGAATGAACAGAATCTGAAAATCAATGATATTGCTAATATTAGTGGATTATTCAAATAATTAGATTTCCAGTAGCTAAAGACATCACGCTTCTATTGGAAAACTAGTTTTGGAGGTGCACCCACAAAAATAACATAGAGATAATAAGGTAATGTAAATAAACAATTAGTAGGAACTGAGAAAAAAAATCAATGATATTGCTAATATTAGTGGATTATTCAAATTAGATTTCCAGTAGCAAAAGACATCACACTTCTATTGGAAAAATAGTGTTGGAGGTGCACCCACAAAAATAACATAGAGATAATAAGGTAATGTAAATAAACAATCAGTAGGAACTGACAAAAAAAACATTTCAATAAATTTGCACTGAAATTACCTTATTACTTCCTTTACAATGAAGAATTAGGGAATTACAAAGGATGGATATAAAATATTCATTATCACAAGTTCTTCACTAAGAACAGTAGTAACAGGAAAGTAACAGTAAGTTAGTTGTTGGTCTTCCAAGTTTGTTTCTCCTGCGAGGAAACCTTCCATAATGGCTTGCTATACATTACATCCAAAACAGAATTCCAGGTTGTTGCTTTAACAAACCACACTATATCTGGTTTGTTACATTCAAGCTGGGCTACTGATAGGTGTACAAGTCTCAGCACAGCATATCCTTATCAGACCAGGATTCTAGTATGTATGTATGTATGTATGTATGTATGTATGTATGTATGTATGTATGTAATCAAATTTATAGAGCTGCCCAACACAGTCAACTCTGGCCAACATACAACAAAAACCGCCAATTAAAAATCCCCAGTAAGATGCTATGACTCGATAAAACTAATAAAAAACAAAAAAAAGGACAAGGCCTAATAATACAAGACAATCAAAGAAAATCACTACTTATCCCAGGGCCTGGGGAAAGAGCCAAGTCTCAAGGCTTCCTTAAAGAGCAGGCACCACAACAGAGGAGGAATGCTTCCTGGGCCCCATTAGGTGACTCAGAACATGCCCACTCTGCTGGATATTACAGGGCAGAGAAAAACAATGGAAAAAACATGGTCCCTCATGTAAATAGGCCTTATGTCATGAACAGCTTTATAGGCCACAGCCAGCACTTTGAATTGCACCCAGCTCACCAATAACTAGGACAATTCACATAGTAGATGTGTCACATGGGTGTACTGGGCACACCCATAACTGGCGATATGGCTATATGACTGCCCGTATGACCAGCTGCTAACCCTAACCCTATGGACAACCTCATGTAAAACACATTCCAATAGTCCAAATATGAAGTGATTAAGATATGAATGGCTGAGAAAGGAATCTCAGCCCACATAAGTGTATAACTGATGCACCAGACAAATCTGGGCCACAGCTGCTCAAGCAAGAATTCAGGATCCAGGAGAACTCCCAAATTATGTACCAGTTCTTTCTGGGGAAGTGTAACCCTGTCCAGAACTAAAGATACTGGGAGAACCAAAAACCCATAGCCACTCTGCCTTGTCAGGGTTGAGTTTAAGCCTGTTCCTCCCCATCCAGATCTTCTCAGCCTCCAGGCATTGAGATGTGATCTTGATAGCTGGGGTCAAGATATATAACTGACAGCATATTAAGAGTATTGGATCCTATGTCAGCAGATGACCTCACCCAGTGATTTCAAACTTTGAGATTACCAACACCAACTGAAACTGGTCCAAGAAAAAGGAGGAGAAACATCATAACACCATATCTCTCATTCCTAATCCCTGGAGCTAGCACAGAAGGATACCATGATAGATGGTATCAAAAGCTGCTAAGAGATAAAGAAGAGCCAAGATGGTTACACAACCTTTATCAGCATCAACCTTGAGACCATCTCCAAGCACAATCAGAACCATCTCCATACTATGACCCAACCTGAAACCTGACTAGAAGGCATCCAGATAATCTGCTTCACTTAGGGCTCCCTGAAATTACAATCTGGCCATTTCTCAAAATCTTGATAAAGGGAAGGCTGGCAACTGGATGAAAACTGTCCAACTGTCAGGTCCAGCGATGGCTTCTTGAGGGGGGAGATACCACTGCCTCTCTCAGGTTAAACACCACCACTCTCTTATATGAAGAAGCATTCATCTCTACATGGACCCAATCACATACCACCTCCCAGGAAATGTTAATCAACCAGGAGGGGAAAGACCTAATAAACAAATACCATAAAAGACTTGGTCAGTTTGAAAATTATTTTGTTGGTTGGCTGGTGTGGCTGTGCTGGACTGTGTGAATCAAGAAGTAAGAACTGAAGCTGCTGGAAGAAAGCAGGCACAGAGTTGGAGAAAAGATTCTTGGAGGAAGGAGGAATGTACAGTTGAGGTCCCAGCAGAAGCCTGCAGAATCAGTGAGATCTGTGAAGCTGTCTGGCTGGTGGAAAGGACTGAAAAGGAATTGGAAAGGACAGACCAGGAGTCAGTGCAGAAAACAGTGACTAAGGTGCTCCTTTCCAAGAGGCTCAAGAAAGAGTCATTTTTCCCTCTTTCCTTCCTCCTCTCTGCCATAGAAAAGGCTAAGAGGTGAAAGTAAAATACTGTTAAGTTGCCAAAAAGAATGAACATAGCAAAACAATTATTAAATTTATGACCTATATGAATAAGGGAAGGGACAAGTGAAATAGATGAGGAACTGCAAGAAACTCTATAGTTTGTTCAGCTAAAACCACTCTATATAGAATATAAGCACAAATTAGTTACCGTATTTGTGCTGTTATTATTTATAACAGTTCAGTTTGGAGAAGAACACTGTATGTTTTCTGGATAAGTTCTTGTCTCTTTCCCATCCTCTGACAGGAATATGTCAAACAACATAAAAAACAGAATCACCTCTCTGGCAGCACAGTCATGTGGAGCCTCCTCTTTATTCACTTTTCCTTTTGGAAAACCCCAGCCAGATTTTGCTAAATAACCCTGAACTAGCAGTACCTGCAAAACATAAACAATCATTTAGACATAATTAAAAGATTATGAAGAGGAAATCAACTTACGGTAAATAGACACACAGCTTAAAACCCACAAGAGTTAGATACCAAAGTCTGAATTAAAATGAAAAGAAAACAAAACTAATAACATGAACAATTCTTCTACTACAATGGGGAAATATATTCAGAATATCTGCTTTTATAGAGATTGCCTTTAAAAGTCAACAGCTAAATCACTGTCAATTCTGTTCAACAAAGCTGAAAAGAAAATACCTTACATTTTCAAGGGTCTCATCAAGAATGATTGCACCATAAGTTGGCACTCCCATTTTGTACTCTTTCCATTCATCTAAAACCTTCTGCACATCTTCCCCTTGAGGAAGTAAAAAAGGGCAATGGCTGAAAAGTACAGTGAATCAAGGAAATTCATTGATCAGGACACATCTCAAATCTTTAGACCACATTTCTACTGATTTTTCTTCCTTTATGCATGCTGCCTTCAGCAAAAATAGTTATTTTGCTGACTCATTTACTGGATAGGATTTAATGTTCATGATAATTAAAAACAGCATGGGAAATAATCTGGAGGAATGTGAACTAGTCACCTTTAACTCTTATTTCCTTAAGTACTCCTATATACTCCTTAAATATCTTCATCTGCATTCTCAAAAGCCCCTTGCATTTATCAGCACTTTTATTTACATTTTACTGAGTTTACTGGAAAAGGAAGCATGGGTCTCCAATTTCTGTACTCTTTTCCCCCCCCTTTTCTTTAGAAAAGAACTCTACGTGATCCTAAAGGGGTTTGTTTTCTAGCCAATTGACTCTTCAAACGTCCTTTAAAAAAAGAAAGAAAAGAAAAAAGAAAAAGGGTCTCCACCGCTATGTGGTAATCTTAGGGATGGGGAAAAGCACTGCAGACTGTCTTGGAGGCACTACCTACCAGAACAGCACTATCAGCATGGCAGCAAAATACAGTAATGAAAGTTATATGCTGCTGTTCTTCCAAAGTGTTCCTCAAGTCATATACAGTATTCTGTCCAAACATTTCCCATAACAATCCTGTGATAGTCACCCAATAAGTTTCCATAGCTAAGATTGGTCTTAAACCTGGTCTCCCTGCTCTTCGATTAACACTAACACTAAATCACACTGGCTTTTCATCCATACATTTGTTTGGAATGGGGGACTGTGTTCACATTTGGAGTGGACAGGTGCATTTTGTAGCTCCTTTTATGCTTATTTTTGTCAGATCTTCTGAAGGTTTTTTTTTGGAGGGAGGTTTGGAGAGAGAGTCTGAAGATTTGTGTGCTTGGGAAGTGAGGATTGTATGAATGCTCGGGGTTTTGAATGTAGTGGATGATTTCTCTTGCCATATGGGGACACTTGGTTTTTTCTAACAGCCCATCCCCACAGCAGCCATTTTATAGTGACATCAATTACAGTTTCTCTAATTTTGAAATGTATTCCACAGGCTAATTTTGAAATATATTCCAGAGTTTGGGAAACTCTGCTCTAAGTAACCACAAGAACATTATTAAAAACCTCAGTATACATTACATTCCTTACCAATTTTTAAAACCATCCAGACCAAGTTATGAAAGAAAATGCCAGATAATGTAATATGATCAAGTTTATTATATGAAAAAGCTGGCAGTGAACAATTTTAGAGTGGGATGAATCCCTGGTCCTGGAAGCCAATGGTGAGATTTATGCTCATAAAACTATCTTTGAATCTTGAACAATCTGATCTTGATATACAAGTAGTCCTTGCTTAGCAGTTGGAACTGTCACAGTGAAACATCATGTGACTGCGACAGACGTATGCTGTCACTTCCCATTCGGTGATTAAGCGAGTCATGGCGGGTTGTTAAGCAAGAAATCACATGACTGCAACTTGCGATTTTACTGGTGGCTTCTCCATTGACTGAGCTTGTTGGAAGCCAGTTGTGAAGTGCCCAAATGTTGATCACATGACTGCAGGGACACTGTGACAGATGTAAATGCGAGGACTGGTTGTAAAATTACTTTTTCAGCACCATCATAACTTTGAATGGTTGCTAAACAGAACAGTCAATAAGTAAGGTCTACCTGTAGTTGCCAATGGTTGCCAAAAAAGATGCTTTAATAGTGATACTTTTAGATGAAGCTGATTAATTTCAGTTTTAAGGAAAAATTGTTCTGGGTGCCTTGCTTGATGACCCATGAGAAAGTAACAGAAAGGTATAGCTTCTCTATAAAAAAATCCCATTTCTTTTTAACAGGTATGTTGCAGAACATAATTAATCTATGGTTACAGTCCTCCCTCTTGAAATTGTTCTATGCTATTTCTCTATTTAGCTATTATATTTACACAAACACACTGGATGTTCAAACCCAGAGTAAAGAGCCATCCTGCTGTGATTTTTTTCAAGTACAAACATATTTAATAGGTAGTATTTGAACAAGTACCTAAGATAGGAAATAGATTATAAAAGTGAAAACACTCAATGAACTGCCCAACTGAGAAAATGCCTTCCTCGATAAAGCACTCCCCCATTAAGCATTCTTAACCTGGAGTGAAGACTCCTAGACTCTCAAGTGGCAAAACATATGGTTAGTTTGCCAGGTGAAATCAGTACAAGGGATCAGGACATTGAAAGTTATGGTTTGATGGATTTGTGATCTTCTAAAACAGCTGCAGTGACTATTAGCTTGATTCCAAATCAATATGCAGTTTCTGAACTTTCAAATTATAAGACTTCATCCTAAGGATTTCAGGAAAGATTTCTGTTCTTGCTTCTAGCAAGATAACACTCATGTTGTATAAAGCATTAATTTAGCACTTAGCAGGGTAACAGGTTTTTAATAGCCTTGGGATACCTACTCATCTCCTTTCCTTTCAAAAGCATTACATTTCATGCCAATAAGACCTTAGAGTCTTTGTTTCCTTGAAACTGGTTTACTTGTTTCAATTTATACTATCTGAATGTTATATATCCACATATACTTTTTATTCTATTTTATAAACCATTTCCAAATTATTGTTGCAAGTAAATTACTATAGAACTTCAAAAATAAACCTGTCTGAAAACTGGTGTGCAACAATACAAAGTCCAGTCCTATGTCTCTGGCCAGGGAAGTAAAAAACATTACATATATAATTTTAAAATGCACAGAAGCCAAAAACAAATCATTGATTATTAGCACTCTCCAATTCAGATATATCACAGAAATCGACCAGCATTAGTTTCAAGTACATTTAATCCAGAGCTTCAACATGCACACGGTGCTCCCACAAAATGAATTTCCACATTCAATTCAGTGGAGAGACATTCTATCTTGTTTAAGGATGGCTGAATTCAATATATTGCATTTGTTTATTCTGATGTGTAAACTCAGCCTTTTGGAATGTTGATCCATAATTTATGGCAGGAGTGAGCAATCATTTTCAGCCTGGACCAGTCACTTTGTTTATGTCCTACCCTATACCTGAAGGGGGCTGCTGCTGCTGCTGCTGCTATTATTTGTGGGCAGGGGTGGACTTTTGGGACCTTTTTAAAAATTATGCTACGTTGAGAAGAGTTTAAAGAGCATAGTGGGCCTTAAGGCTTGCAGAGCTTTAAGGAAATCGTTTTGCTCTTGAATCCCTCCAAAACACATCATTCTGTCCTGGCCACTTAAGGCACCATTTTGCCACTTACAGCTCTACAAACATGAAATCATCAGGTCTGAAAACTTCAATAACACCCACTTTGTGGTAGACTGAGGACTACAAATAGGGTGCTGGGAGTCACATGCAGTCCAAGAGATAGCCCACCCTTGTTTTATGACTTAGTGTTGTGTAAACTATACCACTGTGACATATCAAACTAATCTGGTTAAAATAAGTTGCGTGTAACCAACCAATGTGTAAAAATTTATGGTATACCCACTTCCAAAGATATGCACACATAATAAACTTGCAGCAGCAGCAAGTAAGAAAAACTTCAGAAGAAATTACTTGAAAAGTACCATGCTTTAAAAGCTTCCCACATTTCAGAGGTTGGTATACCCAAAGAAGTACACTTCATAGTACAGCAGAGTGTTTCTCAAGTCATGGTACACATACCACTGGTGGTACGCATAAGTAGCTTAGATGGGACATTGCCTCCATCCCCAAATCAGGAAATAACTGACAAGACAGAAAGGAGAGCAAAAAAGTGGATAAAGCTACCAGTCTCCAAATGAGTACTCTGGGGAAAGGGTACTCCACAGCTTGGCGTTTGTTAGGAAATGATATTGGAATTCCCTGAGGTCTAGACTTAGCAGTCAAAATAAAACCATGCTTTTCAGTAGTAGGTTCTCTCATTCTTTGGATCTATTTTTTTAGTTTGGGGCTTAAGAGAAGACTGCTCCCACAGAGGCAAACACTGCTTCAGTCCTAGATTCCTTTTATTCATCATTATTTTACAATAACACTCTCATGCTGTACTGGAAACAATATTATTGCAATGCTTTATGTCTTTAAAACATAATGGATAAATATAAAATGCCTGTAAACAGAGACACATCTTTTTCAGAAAAAGTTATCTGTTTGCTTCTGTCTTGGCAGGGCCAGATTCATAACAGTGACTGACAAACCCAAGACATGAAAAGTTGAGAACCACCATATACCAAGAATGCAACTTTTCACTACCTAAGTTTCAACACCATTTGTATCTTTAACAAAATCACATAAAAAGGATATCAGCTTTAGCAAAATCTCTTATCCCACACTGAGGTAATCCTGGTGTGTTCTGCATGTAGAAATCCAAGTAAAACCAATGGGCAAGCTCAATCTGAAAACAGACACGAATTGCATTGTCTCGTTCTTCACTGGGAATGTGCAAAATAAATCGACTGCCAAAAGCAAAAAATAAATGTAAGAAATAGGCATATTATTATTTTTACAGTGAAAATATAACACAAATGAATATAAGACTTCTGTAAAACAAGTTCAAGCTACAAAAAGATTTAAAACTGGGACAAGCAAGCTTTAGGTATCTGGAGTCTACACTAATACTGGGCACAAGGCAGTGGCTGAGACTGAGATCTGTGGTGAGGCATTCCAAAATTTGGTATAAGGATTAATGTACCACCAAAACCAAGAATAGTTTATATATATTCAACTCAAGTTGGCTAACATACCTAATACTACTGCCTCCTATTTTCCCCACATCAACAACCCTGTGAGGTAGGTTGGGCTGAGCGTGTGTGACTGGCTCAAAGTCATCCAGCTAGCTTTCATGCATAAGGGAGGTATAGAACTCACAGTCTCCTGGTTTCTTGGGCAGTACCTTAACCACTATACCAAACTGGCTCTCTATATAATATGTAATTTTAATTAAAAATTAACTTAAACTGCTTTAAAATTTAAGTTGTCTTGCCCCTCCTACTTATTGTGATGTGGCCCCTAAAAGTGCTACCTAAAGGACAAATGAGGCCCTCAGCCCAAAACGATTGTATATTTCTTTTATAAGGATAAGTTGTAACAACATTTTGAATGATTTACTGTAACAAGAGACTTTCCTTGAGCTTAACACTGAAAATGTTGTATAAAATTTAAGAAATTATTGTAACTGCAGAACGATGAATGAATGGAATTGTTAAACTAATAGAACAAATTATCAAATTAATAGGGAGTATGAAATAAAAGTTTCAGCTAAGAGCCACATTTCTAAAAAATAATGATAGGCTAGAATTTTTACATTAGGTTTTATAGTATTTTAACAAAAGCTTTTGAGCAAACAAATAAAACTGTTTAAGTGGGCAGAAAGTACAGTACTGTCGGATCTGTGGACAATCTGCAGTAGTTCCACAAAACTTTCTGATTCCTAGCAGTATCTTTCCCCATAAAGCAAGCTCCTGCAGAAGACTAGTACTGTTGTCATCCCACTTCACCCATTTCCTAAGCTATCCACCATAAACTAAATAAATAAGTCATTACCTATCAGGAGCCATTTTCATTATAACCAAAAGTTAACTAGACATTCAATAGCAAGTTTAATAATGGAGGCATTTTATTTCATTTATATGCCACTGAACCTACTAGGGACTCCCAGCAATTTTATAATCTTTGAAACAATTCTAAATGGGCTGTCACCTTATTAAAGAATTATAGCTTCATTAACTAAATGTGTTTTCTATAATTACATTTTTACAAGCAATTATCTCACAGAAGCCAAATGTATTTTTAGATTATGTACTTGTATCCAAGTAAAACTACCCCAAGAGGCATCCCAACTTTTCTCTCCCATAAGCCAATTCCTCTTCTAAGATCATGGTTATCAACTACTGATACGAACATTAATAAATCTGCAGCCCAATCATCACACTTCTTTAATAATGTTTAACTTTGTCAAAAGTTATTTTATATTTTCCAGCCCTGACTTTTAAAGGAACAGCCTCTCCAACATAAGCAATACAGAATAACATTCTTCTTGCACTTTCTCCAGGTTTTATTGCAAATTAGGCTTCTGAAATGTGACTCAGTTTAATCAGAGAACTTAACTTACTTATTTTAAGTATCTAAAGTCAGGTAGCCACTAATACCACACTGTATATAACTCTGAATATCCAGAAACCAAGAACGCATGCTAATTTAAATGCTTTGTATTCACTTTGTATTCATGCTGAGAATTTTTCCTGACCACTGCTTAAATCTAATCAACATTTTTATAATCAGTTAAAACAGAACTGAGCCAAAATATCTGATCTAGCCTCAAGTTTTTTATTGCCCTATCCTTCATTTAAAATACATAAGATTAATGGCTACTTCACCTATACTAGTTCTTTTCCACAATAAAGTTTTAATACTTTTGACCAGTTTCTTAATTAAAGCTGATTTAGTATGGTTGTTTGAAACATTGCCCATTTTTAAAATAACTTCTTTTAAAAGTCATGTGTGAGAAAAAGCAACATCTTTTTAGCAATTTCAGAGTTATTGGAAATCTGTTGTGAATAATTCAAGAGAACTGTAAGAAATGTTTAAAAGGCGGAAAAATTAAAGGCTAGAACTCATTTTTTCGGCCGGAGAACAGATCCGCGAACCTTATAGGAGGTTCACAGGTTGCACAAAGCCACAATATCTGGCTTAACGGGTTGTAGGAACCCAGTCATTGTTGCATATAAACCATGGTTTATGGCTTAACCTTGTGTGGAAATCCAGCCAACTGCAGTTTGTTCAGTAATTCACGAACTATGGCTCAGCAGAATGTATGGACTTTACCACCACAGAGTGTGGTCAATACCCAAGCACCTCTCCGTCCAAGCACTTTCGCTTAAAATTATTAATTAAAACCGAGGCAACTGTCGAGGTCCCTCGGACCGCTTGCTGCGACACTGAGGGGAGGCGGCGGCAGGCATTTTGGGGGACGAGGAGTGGAAGGACCGCAGGGGCCACTCCCGCTATTTTTCTAGGCGGAAGCGTTACCTGCACAGGTCGTCCAAGACGCTGCCGGGAATCTCAGGCCGCTTGGTCTCCATGGATAAACAGCGCAGCTCATCCCGACGCAACGAGGCCGGAACACTGCGCGAGACAGGCCGAAGGGGCAAAACCAAACCGGGCGAAGGGAGCAAAGGCGGGATCTCACCGATTGCATCCCGTAGGAAAGAAGGGGCTTCGGGAGAACCAATCAGATCCGTTGTTGTTCGAAGGGGCGGGTTGAGAGAAAGGAGATCGTAACCAATCATCGTGACAAAACCGAGTAAATAGCTCTCCGCTATTAAGGCCGACCCGCGGTGGGAGCACAACTCGCCGCCGCAGGAAACGGGAGGAAAGGAGCTCGAAAGGAGGCTTCTCTAGGGGACGGGGTGTTTGGGGCGCCATCCCTGCGTCCTTAAAGGAAAAGTGCCGGATTCAGAATCTCTTGCAATTTCTGCGGCGCAGCTCTTCCCGATTGTCTGGGCGCTGGCTTTGCGCGTGCTTTGGGGACGCAGGTGGTCCCCGAGACTGAAGCAACGACAGAAAAAGTCCTAGTTAGCCGGTTAACTCCCTAATAGCTTGTAATATAAGGCTGGGTTCATTAGGTCTCGGCCCTGTTCCGTTCTTCTCAAAGTGATCAGCCCATTCATTTCAGTGACTGTGTTCATATGAGACACTCTTTGCTTAACTTAATGGATTGTTTACTCAATCCAGTTTTCTGGTTTCACACAACACACGAAACCATAAATTAAGTGGGTAGTTTGCACAACACGCTTGTCTACAATGTGGTTGGCTAATTCCTGGCTTAGTGTCTCTCATGAGGCAAGCCAGTGCGCATATCTGATCCAGGGTTACGTCCATTCAAGGACGGGAAAGGGTGCTGAGATACTCTATCACAGCTTTCCTAGCTCTCTTTTATAAACCGCATGGTTTAGGCAATAAAAATATATATCTTCTACTGGGCTTTCCTTTTTTTAAGTGGCTCCAGAAAGGAATTTTCATCCTAGAGGTATTTTAAGAGGCTACTATTTTTGAAGTAGGTATTTTTGAAGCGGATTACCCAATTACTAGAATTAGCATCAGTCTGGCCATCTAAAGAAACTTGTTCCACATGTCACTAATTGGATGAGTAATTTTGAGATTCATGAGGCTATGGGATTTTCAGAGAAGGACTGTATAATGGTAAATGTATTGTTGAGTCATATTACAGTACATTTGGAAGGTATTCAGACCCTTCACTTTTTTCAATTTTGTTATGTTGCAGCCTGATACAATTTTTCAACTTCATTTTTTTTCTCATTATCTACACTCAGTACCCCATAATGACAAAGTGAAAACAGAATTTTAGAAATGTCTGTAAAT